ACCCTTTGCAATCGCAACTCCTGATCTTCAGGGTGTCCCACATTCCACTTCCATGGTGCGACTCACACCTGGAACTGAGAGTCCTGAGCTCTGGCCTGTCTGTAATTCAGACCCACAGTCATCAGGGACCGGTACATCTCAACTCTGCATAAAACCCAAAATAGACTGCTGCAAGCAGAACTAAAGCTGGGAAACAGAGAAGGAGCTGGGATCCCCAGGGACTGAAGGACACCTGCCATAATCACCAGCTCCAGATGAATAGCCCTGCTATGCCCTCCATGCACTCTTCTAACCTACATCCCAACACAGCAGCTCTGGTTCCCTCCCAGTGAATCACAGTTCTGAGCTCCAGGGCACCTTTTCCCATGGTTTATAGCAATAAATTAGCACTGAATTATTACCCCATTGAGTGCAATCTGCTAATATTAGTCACTTGTAAATAAGCCTACATTGCCCCATGCTTGGGACTGTTATCATCATAAAAGATAAACAGCTGAGCAGCATGTACACTCAGGGCTCCAGTGGCCAAGTCCCCTGACCACCCCATTTCCTCTTTCCCTTCTCTGCAATATAATAACCACAATACCCTACTGCTCTGTGCAGAGCACCCCCAAGCCCCTTACCCACAGATTTTATACACCAAGTCATGCACAATCCATGCCAGCTAACACAGGACAGGGAAGCATCAGGTAGTGGTTTCACAGCACAGAAATTTAAGACAGGAAGTGAAGAAGAATGCTGTGTCCTGATAATGCGATGGGGGAAATTTAAGATAGAAATGTGGTTATTTGAGCCAGAAGGGCGCTTAGGCACCTGTCAGGCAAAACTTTTTCCTTTCTTGCCTGTCCTGCTGGCGAACTGCAGGCTCTTCTGGCTTGTTTGCACCCAGCCTATCTCCACATTTGTCAGCATTTCATCTGCCCTTGCAAGAAATCCTGCCACAGGCATGAGGTAGAACTAGATGACCTTTAGCAGCCTGTCCTACTTTCCTACAAATGGGGCCTGACCCATTAGGATGCTGAGTCTTCTTAATGGTTCTCAGGGTTGTCGGTTGTGGTAGTGTTGGTCTAAGGACAGAGGCAGGCAAGGCTCTTTGGGTAGATGCGATATCTTTTATTAGGCCAACTAAATAGCTGGAAAAAATGTTCTTTGCAAGCTTTCGGGCACAAATGCCCTTCTTTAGGCAGAAGGACATTTGTGCCCAAAAGCTTACAAAGAACATTTTCTCCAGCTATTTAGTTGGTCTAATAAAAGATATCGCATCTACCCAAAGAGCCTTGCCTGCCTAATGGTGCTCAGCAAATTTCAGCTGGCTACCACCAGGACTTGCGTGGGATGTCTCAGGAAAGAGAGACTGTGCTGTGCTGCAGACTCGCTTGAACTATTCTGACTTTGCCTCTGAATGTAACTGAGTTTTAAAGCTCTCAGCATGTCAGAATTCAGCAAACATTCCCCTGGGCCTGGCATCCACTTCCTGGTGCTCCTGCTGGGTCCAGCTCACGTGGCCTGACACAAAAGGCACTGAATGCAAAGGCAAAGAAATAGCCAAAGATGCCTGAGTGAGAATCAAATATATTTCAGCCACTGCTGCAGCCATGACTGCCACCTCCAAGTGCAGCAATGAGCCAGCACCAGCTATCAGGTTTTACTTTTTGGGTATGTTGCAAACCATCTGAATTTTCTGCCGTGTCTAAACAAAGTGCAGACTGCTCTCTGAGCCAGGTGTCTGGCTGGCCCCAAGCGTGATACCTGTGCGATTAATCTTTGGCATGCAGGTTGCTGCAAGATGCTCTGTTCTGTACTGTGACTGTAACAGTAGGTGTATAGGGCCAGAAGCACTTTGACTACTACAAACTGTGAATGCTATGACTAAAACGAGGATGGTCATGATTAGAGCTGGGGAATCAGCACCTGTGGGTCTTCATTCCTAGCTCTACCATTGACCTTGGAGAAGTCACTGAATCATAAAAAAGTAGGAAGGAATCTCTAGCAAATCCTTGTCTAACCTATTACTAAAACTACACGGGCAACACTACTACACAACCACAAAGCATAAAGCCTTAACATCATTTCCCTACTCAGTGCCTCTGGCCAGATGCATGCTACAACGGTTTGCTAGCAGAATTATGTTGGCTGGGAGCATGAAAAAAATGCACCACAAGTGACATGGGGTGTGCACTGATGAAATAAATATACTGAATGACAAGGGGGCAGGGACTGACTATGTTTCAATGTTCTCTCTATCACATAGCAAGTGGTAGCTAAAATGCAGGAATTAGCTGGTGTTTCCTTTAGGGGTAAGCTGCCCTGGCCAACTGTGGGATAGCAGACACACAAGGCAGATTGACCATGGATCAGATGATGCACAGGAAGTTCCCCCTCACTTTTTCTGTGCTATAAATGTTTCCTCTGATCGTACATATAAATATTTCCTCTGTCTGTAAACTGGCCCACTTGGATGTACTGGCACTGGCAGAATCCCTTGTAGTCTATGTTGTTTGGGGGCACGGTTCAGTTGCACAAGCAAAACCCCTGCAGTGTAGATTGACCCTGTACCTTCCCCTACCCCTTGCCTGTTCAGACAGCAAGCTGTTGGGGCAGGGACTGTCTCTCACTACGGGCACGTGCACAGCCATCACAGTGGGTGCCCCAGCTCAACAGGAGCCTTTAGGTGCTGGGATCCTGCAAATTATCATCTACTGGCTTTCACAGGACACATCTCCAACCAGGCACAGGAAGGGTTTCAGGGGCCAGCCCCAACCCAAAAGCAAATATCTTGCTCCATTGTACCTGGAACAGTTTTGGCCATTGGTGAGGCCAAGTCCTCCTACCGGATCATGGGGTTCCTGTTTCCGAGGGCTCTTTTATGTGCTCCAATATCAGGCTGCCCTTTTAAAAGAAAGTGATATGGGTAATTAATGATATTTGCAGAAGAACAATTGGGCAATTATTGCCTCCGTCTCCCACAAGGCAATGGATCAACCCCCTATCAGCTGCACTGGCAGGACGCTGCTTTCACTCACTTTGGACACAGCAATTAGCTTCCTTCATTAATGACGTTCTAAGGGTGGAAAATCACAGGTGCCTAGTGGGCCCTGGGTTCAGAGTAAACAAGGTGTCAGAGTTTTTTCCCTAGGGAAACTCAGGCCCAGTTAGAGATCTCTGCCCTCTCTGTTCCTCCCCTGGCCCTTTCTTTTACCCCTCCTTCTTTCTCTGGGCCATCTCTTCTTCGCTTTCTCATCCCCTGTTCTCTCCATCTCCTCTTTAAACAGTCCTTGGCTCACAGCAGTGGAAAAAAGGAGTCTCAATCTCACAAGCAGGCAGTCCATCTCTGAACAACCAGGACAGCTTCCTCCCTCTCTGCCCAAGGGTCCAGGACCTTCCTGCCAATGGATGTGGCCCAGCTCAGAGGACCAGGCTATTGATCTGTACCCGGGTCATTCCTCTCAAAGTCTCTCAAGGGCTCATCTCCCCCAGAATGAGCTTTGAGGACATTAACAGAAGGAAACCCTTCCCTGGAGCCTGCCCCTGTCGAGTGCCAACAAAGCACAGTCCTTAGGCGCATGTGACAATGCCCCAGCCAGGGCTTCTGCTCTCTGTCTTAATGCTATTCAGCTGATTCCCTTGGCTTCTCACCCCTGCCCCTCTCACCCCATTTGTTTGCTTTGCTCACCTCCTGCAGCCTGTCTGACAGTCAGACTGTAGGTTTCCTGGGGTACAGGCTCTCTGGCCCCCACTGCAGGCCCTCAAACATCAGAAGGCCAGAAAATGAAGAGCTAGGATAACACAAAATAAAAATTCTGAAAACCAGCAAATGCAGAAATTCTGAGGTGCTGCCAAAATGCACATAAATAGTAAGGCCCCTTCATCCCTCTCTTCATCATCACTCCATCATGAGAGACCAAAGGGGCTGGAGGTAGGGGGCTTGTAACCATGCTTCTGCTCTGGGAGAAGAGAATCCCATGAACATGGATGGGATTTCCTGATGGGGCTGCCTGGGATAGCAGGGGGCTGGGTGCTGTCCTTGTCCCAACCAGAGTCCTCCCTACCAGCCTCCACTCTTTTTGGACCCTCTGAGAGGCTGGTCCTCTCCAGCAGAGGAGGGCCAGCACCTTGCAGGACTTGACTCCAAAACATGGAACGCACCGAAACCCTACAATGGTCCACTCAAGTTGCTCTCCTGACTCCATCCGTACCCAATGCTGAATGAGTTTGAGGAACTTGTAAAACTCTCCCTAGTACAGTAATGTGCAATGCTGAACCAGAGGAGCGGGGCTCAGATTCCTTCCTGACCCCATGTGGTGATCAAGCCCCAAGTCATGAGGGTTAAAGTGTCCATCAGTTTTACCTTCATTGCTGTGATTCTTACTTACCAGTGTGTCTCAATCTCTTCCTTAAGCGCAGGCACATCAGCATGGGCAATCTAGCTGCTCTCTGAGTGACAGACAGCCATGGCTTCTGCTGCCTTTTCCACCCTTCTCATCTCTTTGAACCTGGAAATAAGAAAGAAACTGCTTTCCTCTCCAATCCCATCTTCAAAGCCCAACCTCTGGGAGTCCAGGAATTGGCACAATGCACTCCATTGTCCTTTTCTGCGGCTGAGAGTCAGCCCGAACACAAAGACAGGCTGGAGACACCGGCCAGTGCGCCAGGAAACTGTAGCCCAGGTCAACAAAAGCATCTTCTCCCTCAATGAAGGTCCAAACAGTGGGGGACCCTGGATGACACTGAATATGACCTATTGTCTTGGAGGGCCTGGGTGTATCAAGGGAATTGTAAATGGGATCAAACAGCCTAATTCTGGAAGGGGGGTGTAGAGGGGGACAAAAAAGAGAGCTGTCCCTCTTCAGATCTTTCCTTATCTCCACCTGCTATCTCCTGAGCTTAGCTTGGGTGTACTTACTTCCCAACAAGCCAATCAGACGCCAAGCACAGCCCTCAGTCCCCTTGACTGAGGTGATTTATAAATGACTCACTGGCTTATTTGAGCACAGTCTCTGCACACCTCCTCAGAAGCAACTCTCTGCATTGGGTTTCTTGACACATTTGCAGCTCACCTAGCAGAATCAGCCCTTTCTTCTCTCCAGCAAGGTGAAGGTAAACCCTGCTTCCAACAATCGGGCTCTTTGTTCGGTGGGCGTGGGGGATTTGCACTCTGGTTGCACAGCCCCTGGGTGTGAGTTTCAGGAGCTGGAGAACTGGTGTGGGGCTTTTTTAATATTTTTTTGTTGTTGTTGTTGTTGCTGTTTTTTATTTTTTCGCAGAGGGGATTTACAAGAGCAGATTTGCTGAGGAATTAGTGACAACAATGATCAAGGGGCTTGATTTATGGGGAAAGGTTGCAGAAGCCAAATAATGGGAATTCATTATTATTGGAATAAAGCCTGCTGTTCTTACTCAGGCACATTCCCACTGAGATCAGGGGGTGTTGGCCTGGGAAGGGAAAGTTAAGAGTCATGACAGACCCGTTGGTCCTGGTCTGACATGATCATCCAGGCTTCCCCTTGCTGCATAGGGGGCTTTGAGGACAGGTCCCTGCACCAAGGAGTTTACTACATAAATCAGAGGTATGGAGGCTGCATAGTGTGGCTAAGTGATGTGTGAAAGGAGTATCTATTTATTTGTGCGTGTGTATGCGGGGGATATAAAATCATAGTCCAGTCTAACTCATCAAAGAGAAAGAGGAATTCTTTAGGATGAAACCCACAGGGGTTTGTGGGGGCAGTCCGGAGAAGAAAACTTAGGCTGAAAATCAAAAGGTGCTTCCAGGCTTGTTAGCCTGGAGGAGAGTGTGCAAGCTGCTTGCGCCTGGGAGACCTACGCTGGACAGAGCCCTAAGCAAAGTGACCCCAGAGAACAGCCCTGCCCTGCACTGTCCCAAAAAGGTGCTTACATCTTCACGGACCATGGTCAGCAAGACAAAGTCATGGGGAAGGTACCTATGGATCCAGCTAAACCCTAAGTGCAGCTGCTAGGTACACAGGTGGAAAGCACCGGGGCTTGCTCTTTGCCTGGCTTAGTGCTTGAGGTGGCCCCGTCTGCTATTGGGTGCTTGGCAAAAAATGCTTTCAAGAGCTAAGTGGGCAGGACTGGGCTGGGAGGGGAAGGATGCCGAGGGGAGTCTCTGCCTAGGTTCATATGCTTAGGGCTGGGGAAATGCTCTCCCCTGCCCCTGCCTTTTGGGGAGGACAAGCTGTCTGACCCACAAGGTGTTTTTCCTTCTCTGGCATCAGGGTAGGGAGCGTGTGCCTTGGAGAGCTCTCAGCAGGCAGCCTGGATAAGAGCTTTCTCAGGCGGTGCAGGAATGCTGCAGTCTGCAAACTTGCTAATTCCTCAGACTTTCCATTGCCCATGTGCTCTCCAAAGGGCAGCAGCGAGATCAGTGCTACAGGTACACGTAGCTGCTCTGGGTGCTGGGCAGGCCCATTTTACACTTTACTAAGTCCATTTTCAGCCCTTTTCCCCACGGGCTGCAAAGACACTGCATCTATAACAGTGGTGAAGGGATGGGGAGCAGGACAGACAGCTTTCCCAGGGCCAAATGCTGACGCTGGTGAAGTCCTTAGTGTTTAAACTCTGCTTGCCAAGGGGCCGTGAGCCTTATCCCAGGTGCAGCTCTGACTGCCCTCAGTGGTCTTGGCTCTCCATTGGGATCCAAGCCAGGCTGGTGCTGGGGGTCTCCTCATTTTAGTGGGCTAATGAGAAGGAATTTGTGGGCTTGCCAGCCCGCTTCTTGCTGGACAAGCGTCTCCCTGACACTGGTTCCCTTGCCTTCAGTCCCAGCAGAGATCTGGAAACAGGACACTGAGCTCCCCTCCCATTTCCTGAGATGGGCCCGGCAGGGCTGAGGCATGCAGGTGAGGCAGTGTGTGGCAATGAGGCTGATAAGCAGGGACCACCAGTCTCCAGGCCCGCACAGCAGCACCTTTTCCCTGCACTGACAACTGACTTTAACTCCTCCTGCTCTCCGAACTGGAGCTCTGCAGTGGAGTCAGCCTGCCAGGATCATTTTGTCTTCCAGGGGGTTCCTGCAAGGAGTGGTTCCCCCACCCTCCCCCAACCATTCCTGCTCCTGCTTGCCCACCAAGAGGCTCGCTGCCTTCTTCTCCCCACCTCCACTTCCCTTGCATTATGCCAGCACTTCTCCCTCCCCCCCCAGATGAAACTGGGACTAGATGCAGGGGTGGGGCTGAGAGCAAGCAAGTTATTTACACAAATCTAAGAAAGACTGGGCCAAATTCTTGTCTCATTTGCACAAGTGTCAATCCATCATAAATCCGCAGAGTGCAACAGGGATAGTCTGGGTTTACACCCAGGTGAGTGAGGCCAGACTTTGGGCCTTGGAGTATGAGCCTTTTACCTAATAGCCTCCCTCTGTACCAAATGCTTTGGGTTCCCCTGCAGGCAGCCGGCCTGCCGCCCGTCTCGGTACGGTTACCAAGCGCAGAGCTCGTTCGGTTAGAAACTCCTGTGAAGTGGTACATCAAACATTGGCACTGGCCCAACAGCGTTGGAGTGAGAGTGCAGCACCCGAGCTGCTGCCTGGTGCCTGCTTGGGTCTTGTTAGAAAGGACCATCTGCCTTCTGGAAATCACCTATTAATGCTGCCAACTATTTAATCTGCACCAAAATAAAACACTGATTCAAAGCCTGGCTGCTGGGACAAGCACAGGGATGGGGCTCTTCAGTTTGGGCTGGAGAGGCCGGGGCTCAGATTTGTGAAAGTATGAGCTACAGGGGGGTGACATGGGGGACAAGGGTGTAGGGAACCCCTCCCCTTCTTTTGCAGCCTGATTGCCTAGCTCAAGCTGTCTACCTGGGCACTGCCACATACTCCTCTCCCCATCCATCCATCCGTCTCATGGCTTTATGAGGGTTCAACCTATGTAAGTTCATGTCTCTCTGACTCAATTAGTCCCGGAGGTGCCACCCTGCCCTACCTTCTTCACCACAGTATGTGAGCACCTGCCATATAAAATCAATCAATCAATGTCAAGAGCTAAGTTCCCTGGTGGGCTTTGCTGTTTTTTGAAGAAAAATCTCCACTTAGGGTAAGGTATTTTGCAACAAATCCATCCACTCTCTTCATAGCCATGTCATCTGGGTTTTTCAAGTCACCCTTACAGCGGTACTCCTAAGGCCATGTTTCTGAAGCATTCAGTGTCCAGCCTCTCCCGCTGTTAGCTGTGGAAGGGCTGGCTGTTGAACCCAAGGTACATCTAGACAGAGTAAGACAGTGCCCTGTAGAAGTAGCCCACACTAGCTCTGTATGTACTGACACTGGCACTGGAAGCACTTTAGCCACATTAATGCATTGCTGCAGCTGGGCTAATATATACCCTGCTAGTCAGCACAGCTCATTTGCCCATGGCAGCTCTACATTAAGGCAGTTACATGGCTTCCAGTGCTGGAGCAACCACAGGCAGAGCTACTCCTGGGTATCTCTACAGGGTGCATGAGGCTGAAGTTGGTTCCTTAATCCCATTTCCTTATTCCTTATTCCCGGTGCATGGTTCCTTTTTCAAAGCTAACCTTTACATAATTAGAGGTTGTTAGTAATAAATTAGACATGATACAGAGTTAGAATTCTGTTAAAAATGTAAATTTACTAATAAAACTGTAAAATGGTATCATGTATCAAGTACATAGCCCCAAATAAGGACCTGAGATTAGGTTGGGATAATGGGGTAAAGGTCACCCCAATGATGAAATTCAAAGTCTTTAGCATGTCTAATTCATTACTAACAATCTCTAATTATGTAAAGATTAACTTTGAAAAAGGAATCAGGAACCAGGAATAAGAAACTGGAAATAAGGAAGGCAAGATTCCTTGCCTGCGTATGTCCTTAGACCAACACGGCTACAACCAAAAACCCTGGAAATAAGGAACCAAATTCAGCCTCATGCAGGATGCTGCCTTGCACTCCAAAGATATAACTCAAAATGTTCTCTGTACTGTCTAGTTTTCTTTCTTTTCTTTTTTTTAAGCCTAAATAAATTAGTAAAGGTGATGATTTTTTCCTGACATAATTATAGCTGGTAGAACCATACCACAGACCCATTGTTAGGTCCTTTACACCCATATAGCTTATTTTTCTTGTGAAATAAGGTCCAGAATGAGATGTAGTAGTCTGAGTATTTCTACACTGTTGTAACTACACCTGATCTGGGGTGGCTGCCTTAACTGTGCTGGTGAGGTTGTGTGTGTAACATGCCCAACATAAAGAGGCCCTGATCCTGCCCAAGTCCTCTAGACGGTACTAGCACACAAATAACATAGCAAGGAATATGAGGCAGGTGGATGGAGTGAGTTAGGTCAGTATTCCACAGTGTGGGGGAATTATGGAGCAGTCTTTTGCAACCACGTAAAGCAGAGACCTTCTTCCTCAATCCAATGCTACAAGAAACAGAATGGAGGTGAAGGATGAGGGCACGGTGTAGGAGGGCTGAGGTGGGCTTTAATTGGCAGGAAAGAATTCACAGCAAGGGGAGAGGCAATAGGAGCTAAGCACCAGTCCCTCAGCTCTGTGAATCTACACCATCCTATTGGCTTCAGTGGGGCAGCACCAATTTACCCCAGCTGAGGATCCAGACCTAAGCCTTACCTGTTGAACCACTGCAAGGAACCTTCCTCTGACCTGGGGCCTGTGACTTCTACATCATCCTTCCCCAAACCCATCTCTCTGCCACCTCATTTCCATGACACAAAAGGAAAGTGGCAAGTAACCCAAAGTGATTTCAGCAGGCTGGGTGTTATATAAAGTCTTTCCACAGTCACACTGGCCACTCCAGAGTCCCACGTGTGAGGACACATCACCAGGGGCTCATCTGAAGAGAGGGATTAGCTCCTTGCCTGCTCTTGGGGCTTCCAAGGCATGTGCACAGCAATGCTGGCTCTGCCAGAGTTGGCATTAAGACTCATCCACACCCATGCCCCCTCCCTTCCAGCTGTGCTTATATCATTGCCCATGAGGCTCCTACTGGACCACGGGAGGGAGTAGATCTCAGTGAACTGGTGCAGTTGCAGAGCTTGTGGTTACTCATTCAGGCAGACAGAAAACGTTGGCATTGCCAGTTCAGAGGAACAGGAGCAACAG